GCCTGGTCACTTGTCTTGACAATGACTGTCAAGCCCCGCTTTTTAGCATCCTAATTGACAGAAACCTCTGAAAGACAGCACTCTTGGGCTGTGTCTCTGCATCATTTTGATATGACCAGAATCCAACTTCATGGTGGAAAAGAAACAGCACTCAGGTGAATTCTGTTAAAAATCATGCTAATGATGCAACTCATAACCTTCAAAGGGACACATTTACAGAGAACTGACAAGTTCAAAGGGCCAGTTACTGCTTTGCCAAATCAAGCCCCTAGCCCAGGACAACAGAACTGGAGCAGTGGCAATGATGTCTTTCCCTCTGCCTGAGCAGTGTGCCATAGAGTCTGATGGCTTTGCTGGCACAGAAGGCTGGGCAAAGCTTGCTCAGGAAGCACGGGTCATCCCTGACAAGCATCTCCGGTACTACTCCATCACTTTCCCAGCTCCCCAGGTGAAGCTTCTCAAGTGCTCAGCTTTCCAACCATTTGGAAAGCAAAAACCAGCAGCAGTGCCTGAACTGACGGCCAAGAAAAACCTAAGGATACAAGGACGTAGATGGAAGTTACTACTCATTAGAATGTGCTATCAAAGGAAGGAAAAGCTACACAATTTTCTGATATTTTTATTTTTCAAATGAAAGTATAGAGCTAGTTCCTCAAAGAATCTCTCATCACAGAGCTCCGCATTTCCTAGACATGTTTTCAGTGCCTGTCTTTCTTTTGGTGCCTGTAATACTAGTGATTTACACTACTATTACAAAAATCCTACCTGTAACCTACAAAGCAAAGACACTGCAAATTAGAGACATGCCTAATGTATTACTTCCATCACAAAATCCACACACACACTTGTCAGATCTGAGTAGCCTCTAGAAACATGTGGTTATCTACTGGTAATTATTCTGCTGCAGAAGGAATAATTAAAAAAAAAAAAACTGTTAAATCAGCAACCTCACTTGACATCCATTTTGAAATATTTTTTTCATGTGCCAAAGCCCAAGGCAACTTAGCATTCTACAGACCAAAAATTTCATGCTGCCTTCTATGCCTATTAAGGGGATGCAGAATGTAAGAACATGGAGCTTACAGAGATGATGCCTCTAATTCACAACAGCAAACATCAATTATCTGCACTCCATGTGAAGAAGAAACGCATCCACAGGCAGAGACCCACAACTGACTCGTTTATATCTAGGACTCTGGATAGAAAGAAAAATGGCATTGTGACAGAAAATAGATTGGGAGGCATAACAAATTGGTGCTGAATAAGTACTCTGTTCTAATGAGTTATCCAAGAGTGGTAATTCCAGTTTCCAGGGGAGTAAACATTCAACAGATTAACTACAAAAGGAACCCTGGCAAAAGTGTAAGGATATAGTATGTCATATGTTTAGCTAGCTTTCAAAAAGATCACTCTTGCAATATTTTCTTTATCCTTAGGTGAAACAAAGGAAAGTAATAAATTGATAAAGAGTACTTAGAGACAACTGATTTTTAAAAATCATTTGAGCATTCCTAATTCAGGAATTGTGATGGATTAGATATTTGCAAGGCCCTTCTGCTATACTATAGTTACAGCCTGAATAAATTACATTTAAAAATACTTTTTAATGCACTGGTTAGCTCCGGGTAGAGAAACAAATCCCACGAGAATATAGTGGGAACATGTACTGTTCCTGAGCAAAGAACAGTCACAAGTGAGCAAAAAAGAAAGTTGGAGTTGCCCTGGAGGTAACTATGAATACCAACCAAGGGGTGGGGCAACTAGACAGCCAAGTTTCAGCATGGTGGGGAAAGCCCAGCTTGAAACCTAAGGGAACAGGTATTCAAAGAGAAGAGAAGTGGTCCTGGGTCTGTAGTATCCTCCTGGCTCCTAGTACAAACAAAATTTCAAGAAGTAATACTTCAAGATTCCACGAAATAATTATCAAGCAAATTATTAGCATACAATCAAAACTCACCCTGTACACTAGGAAAGAAGCCCAAAAACATTTAGACCACCAAGGATTTCAGACACTGGCATTATCAAATATAGGATATGAAATAACTGCTTAATGATGAGGCCAAAAAAATGAGCAAGCAAAATGAAACCATCAAAAAATACTCAGGCAGATTTAAGGCAGAAATAAAGATTTTAGAAATTTAAAAAACATACTCATTTGAATTAAAAATTCAATGGATAGGCTAAACAGAAGAGCCAACACAGTCAAAGAGAGAAGTATTGAACTAAAAGCTAAATCTTAAATTACAGAATGAAGCAGAGAAAAACGAGAAAGAAAATACTGAACAGAAATTAAGACATAAAGGATAAAAAGAGAAGTTCTAACTTCCACTAAATCAAAACCAGGAGATGATAGAGAGAATGGAGAAAAGACAGCATTCAAAGCATTGGGAGCTGAAAAATATTTAGAGTGGATAAATGAAATAAATTGATAGATACATGAAACACGAAAAATATAAACAGAATTCTTAAAAGAAAGCTGTAAATAAACACGTTGTAATGAAACTGCTGAACATCAAAGACAAATAAACAAACTTAGAGTAAGTCAAATCATCTACTAAAAAAATAGCAAATGAAAGATAAACAGATGTCCTGACAGCAAAAATGAAAGTTATGGACAATGGAACAGTACGTCCACAACACTGGGGGAAAAAATAACTATCAACTAAGAACTGTAAGAGTGAAATAAAGACATTTCAGAAACCAAAATGAGAGACGTTACCACCAAAAGATTCTCAAGAAAAGAAAAAATTCTGAAGAAGCTAAATCTCATCAGAGGAAAGGTAAGGATAAAGAAAGGAAGAGGAATAAGAAATGGTAAGCATATAAAGTTAAAAAAAATACCATCTCCATACAATAAAATTGACTAATTTGTATGGTGAAGCAAATAATAAAACTGATATGCTGAAAAGAACATCTATGTACAGAAGGAGGGAGTCTTCATTAGTTTTTTTTAACTATGAGTTTTGTATTATTCTAGAAGGGGATTAGAATACCTTAAATACTGACTGACTTTAAAACTTCTGTGTATGCACAATGTACTTTCAGGGTAATCATTAGAAGAACAGAAATACAAGTTATAATTTCCAAATCAGCAGAGAAAGAAAAACTGAATAAGAATATAAACCAATAAGAAGTTCAATTCAAAAGAAAAGAAAAAACAAAGATTAGCAATAAAAACATTTTTAGTTTGTTTGTTTGTTTTTGAGATGATGTTTCACTCTTGTCGCCCAGGCTGGAGTGCAGCGGCATGATCTTGGCTCACTGCAACCTCTGCCTCCCAGGTTCAAAGCGATTCTCGTGCCTCAGCTTCCCAAGTAGCTGGGATTACAGGGGCACACCACCATGCCTGGCTAATTTTTATATTTTTAGTAGAGACAGGGTTTCACCACATTGGCCAGGCTGGTCTCGAACTCCTGACCTTAGGTGATCTGCCTGCCTCAGCCTCCCAAAGTGCTGGGATTACAGGCATGAGCCACCGCACCTGGCCGCAATGAAAATATTTGTACCATATAAACAGTTTCAAATTTTTTTAGACTATGTTTCAAAAAACAAAAAAAAGGTCAGGCGCGGTGGCTCAGGCCTGTAATCCCAGCACTTTGGGAGGCCGAGGCGGGCAGATCACAAGGTCAGGAGATCAAAACCATCCTGGCTAACATAGTAAAACCCCATCTCTACTAAAAATACACAAAATTAGCCGAGTGTGGTGGCAGGTGCCTGTAGTACCAGCTACTCGGGAGGCTAAGGCAGGAGAATGGTGTGAACCTGGGAGGTGGAGCTTGCAGTGAGCTGGGATTGTGCCACTGCACTCCAGCCTGGGTGACAGAGCAAGACTCCTTCTCAAAAAAAACAAAAACAAAAACAAAAAAAAAAAAAACAAAGGGCAGAAACAAGCTTCATTCACTATCCAATAAAAGACTGAAATTTTTGTCTAACTTAAAATTATGCACTCCGTTCTCCAAAGGATATCAAAGATGTACAATCACACTATTAATCAGGAAATAAAGATGACAATGATATACTATTTTACATCCACTAGCCTGGCAACAAAATACCAAATATTGGAGGGAAGGGAGACAACAGATAAACTGTGATCAATTCTCCCCACAGAATTTAACTTAACCAGAAAAATTAGTTTATTACCATTACATGCAACAAGTAAATCTTAAAACATAACAGGGCAAAAAAAAAAAAATGCAAGCTGCAGAATACTACATGCAATATACCATTCTCTTCAAGCTCAAAATTAAACAAAGCTAAGCAATATATCATTTGGAGATTATATATACAGACATAGTAATCAACATATAGACAGACACAGAAATAGAACACAGAAACAGACATGGAATCAACGATGACGCTAGAGACACTGTTTCATTCATCTTTTACTTTCTAGGTCAAGTTCTTTATCTCATCTCAGATTAGCACTCTGAGCAGCACTGGATTCAACTGTTCAACTCCAGAGAAGAAGGCAGACCTGGTAACAGTGATCTTCCAGGATGAAAGCCTTCATCAAAAGCAATTCCAGACTAAGGGAAAAGGCATGCCCCCAAATGACATATCCTAGTTTATGTGACTTCACATAAACCTGGTTTACGTGATTTCAAATCCAGCAGCATCCTTTTCTGTCATTTCCAGAGATTCAGGCTGACACTGTGTAAACTTGGTTTATGTGACTTCAAATCCAGCAGCATCCTTTTCTGTCATTTCCAGAGACTCGGGCTGACACTGTTTCCTGTGGCCTTTGCTTTACGCATTTCTACCACCCTGGCCCAGACTGCTTGCCTTCTCCAATAAGGGAGCTGGCCTCTCCAAGTGTGTTTCCTACTTTCAAACCACACAGACCTTTTGTTGGCTAATTTTGCCGCTGGGCACCACAAAGGCCTGGAAGATCCCTTTATGCCAGAGCCTCACACAAATGTCAGAACAAAGCAAGAGTGATTACAAGGAACTTCAGAACCATGAGTTCTTTGAGAATGGGTGAAATGCTGATTCTGACTTACCTATATTGTCTTTTATTACACACCCTCTGCTGTGTTCCAACTTTATTGTTCTTAAAATTCAAAAAGTCCACACTCCTTCAGTCACTGAAGCTTTACCTGGAATAACAAGGGCAGAAAATGAGGAAGGAAGCAACCAGAAGGAACAGAAGGGCCCACTTGGAAAAGAAACTCTCTCATATAATCAAATCAATTAAAAACTTGATTTGTGAGAGAAATAAGGGCCACCTGGAAGAAGGAAAATCTCTACCTCCGTCTAAGCCATTTTAACTAAAACTATTAATAGGGGCAGGACACAGTGGGTCACATCTGTAATCTCAGCACTTTGGGAGGCTGAGGTGGGAGGATCACTTGAGCCTAAGAGTTTGAGACCAGCCTGGGCAATACAGCAAGACCTTTTCTGTACAAATAATTTTAAAAATAGCCAGATGTGGTGGTGTTTACCTGTGGTCCCAGTTACTCAGGAGGTTTAGGTAAAAGGATCACTTGAGAATGGGAAGTGGAGGCTGCAGTGAGCCATGACTGCACTCTAACCTGGGCAACACAGCAAGACCCCATCTCAAAAAAAACTATTAATGTCTTGTTAATAGTAACATAATGTTTGCAGAAGAAATCATTATTATTTATAAAGAGCTTTCACATGCATTTTCTCATTGGAGCCATAAGATCTTGAGAACAGACAAGCACCATTTTAAAATGAAGTAGCCGAAGTTCCCAAAGGTTAGGGAAATTTCCACCAATCACTCAGCCAGCAAGTATCAAAGAAGAAATCAGTGCCCAGCTCTACCAACCCTTGCTCCAAACTCTTCCATGACACCATACAACATAATAGTTTCAACTTGAATAGCAATATTTATTATTTCCTCCTGCATAGATATGCTTTCTTAGACAACAGATAGAATGGCTTTGCATGCTAAGTGACCAACACTGCGATAGGATTAATGTATTTACCACAGACAACCCAAAGGGTAGAAAATCCACACAAAGGTAGTCAAGAAACACCTTATCTTTTCTGCATACTCTACTTTTCCCTTTAAATCATACTTATACTTGCTGGGATTTTTTGTTTTAATTTTTTTTTCCTTTTTTTTTTTCTTTGAGACAGAGTCTCAGGCTGAGTGCAGTGGCACAGTCATGGCTCACTGCAGCCCATGGACTCAAGCAATCCTCCCAACTCAGCTTCCCAAACACCTAGGCCTTCAGGTGCATGCCACCATGCCCAGCTGATTTCTTTTAGTAGAGATGGGGTCTTGCTATGTTGCCCAGGCTGGTCTCGAAATCTTGGACTCAAGTGATCTTCCCACCTCAGCCTCCCAAAGTGCTGGGAGGCATGCACTACCATAACTGGCCTTTAAATTTCTGTATTCGGAAATAATTTCAAGCTTACAAAAGAGTTGTAGAATAATACTAGTACAAAAGTATCCAGGTACTCTTTACCCAGATTCACTTATTATCAACATTTAACTCATTTATTTAACCATTCACTCACTCTGTCCATTCATTCATTCGACATTTTTTTCTGAGCCATAAGGAGATAAGTTCAGTACAACCCAGCACTTTACCTCTAAATACTTCAGAATTTATTTCCTAAGAAAAAGAATATTCTCTTACACAACCACAATATAGTTATCAGCCTTAGTAAATTTAATATTTATATAATACTTTAATCTACTGCCATATTCAATTAACCCAATAACACCCTTTATAGTATTTCTCTTTCCTCCAATTCAGATCCAGTCCGGTGTTAGATACTGCATTTAGCTGCTGTTACTCTTTAGCTTCCTTTCACCTGAACAACACCAGCTTTCCTTTGTCTTTTATGACACTGACACTTTAGAAGAATACAGCCTCTCCCCCTTTTTATATTAATAGAACATTTCTATTTTGACTTTCATGACATTTCCTCAGGTGATTCCTGATGATTCAGTTCAGGTTATGCATTCTCAGAAAACTTCAAAAGTGATATTTTCTTATCTGGATATCACATCTAAAGGCACAAAAAGTACATCTGCCCCAGTTTGGTTATGTTAATTTTGATCACCCAGCCAAGGTGTTGTCCAACTTTTCCAGTGAAAAATTACTACTTTTTCCCTTGCAGCTAACAAGTAATCTGTGGGAAGATACTCTAAGACCATGCAAATATCTTGTCCCTCATCAAAATTTCCCTCTAGATTTAGCATCCATTAGTGATGTCTGCCTGATAAAAACTTTATACTATGATGACTGCAACATGCTGACTTTCCCAACTCCAGCAATCCCTCCATATTGCCATCCATTACTCAGCATTCCACATTGTTTACCAATATATCTATTTATGATCACCGGAGATACATGAAGTCCTATTTTTTTCAATGACTTATTATTTATCTTTGTACTTATTTTGGTGCTCCAACTGTCTCAGACTTAGCCAGTGGGAAGCCCTTCAAGCTGGTTCCTGTATCCCTGTGACATACTCCCTCTTTTAAAAATATTTTCTTACTTTTATTTCCTTACTTTTTGATATTTAAAAAAAATACTATGGGCTCATCTTGTATCTACCCTGTCTCTGACCTGGATCCTGTCAATTCTCCAAAAACCACTGGTTCCTTTTCATGGAGAATGCTATTAGAGACCAAGATCTGGTATTACCCACTTTTATAGTCATTGTTCATATCTATTGATTATTATTTTGAATATGGGTCACAATCCCCTGCTACTTTGTATGCTTCTTTCCATTATAAGGTAAACAATTAGAGGGTGTTCAGTTTGGCTCTGGTGGCAGCTAAATTACTGGTGGGTCCTCTTGATCCTGCCAGTCTTGGTTTTACACTTGGTTAAGATGAGTCTATTTCACTTATGTCCTTAGTCCAAGCTTACGGTCCTTACTGTAAGGTATGGATGGTCTTTATTCCTAGGATGTGACGTCTCAACAGAATGGCTGTGTGATGTCTCAATAGAATGGCTAAGGCATTCAGCAAGGTCTCTTCACCTTGCTAGGCCAGAAACCCAATCACTCTCAGTAATACATGACCTTTGGTACCGCCATTCTGTTCTTAGCCTAGTAGCAGCTGCTCTTTGCAGGGCCTCACCCCTCAAGTAGCTCCCTCCTCTCCAGTACCCTGCCATACAAATCCCAGCCTCTTCAGCCGCCTTAAACTCCAATCTCTGCCCTCTCAATGCTATGAGACTACCATGCTCTGCTAGGGTTCACCTCCCTATATCACAGCAGGGAAAGTATTTAAGCAGGAAACCAGGGCAAATGTGAGTCCCCCTCTTGTGATTCTCTTCTCTCAAGGATCACAGTTCTGGATGCCTGCTGTTCACTGCCTGAAAACCACTGCCTCATAGACAGTAGTCCTGTTTTCTACTTGTTTATCTTAGGAGGCAAGACCAGCACCTATTACTTCTCTCTTTTTCTCTTTATGCCTTTAATAGTAAATGGTGATTGAGGAAGACAGGTCTGCTCTACTGGGAAGGGTTAAGACTCAAATATTTTCAATGTATAATAAATGCTCTTTACTTAAACATTTCAAAGAAACTCACTGTCTAACAATCTGTTTCTTACAAATGTATGTGCTTACTTTAAGCACAGCACTGTAGCAAGAAAAATGTTCCCTATTGGGGAGGCAATTCCAAACAAATGACACGGAAATGTCCCTGTTTCTTCCAAAAAGCTGACACTCACTTCAGATAGCCAGCTGGCTATCACTCTAACATGCATTTACATTTATTTCCATAACCCTTCCTCCTATTGGCATAACAAAGCAGTAGAGCCTATTCAAATTAATGAAAGTTAGTTGTTCTTCATTTCTCTTGTTTATGTGCCTGTTCTTAGGGATGGAGAAAAGACTCCTTTTCATATAAATCATTTTCTGGTGTATTTCCATGTCTACTTATAACCACTGTTGAGAAAATTACTAGAAAATAAATAATCAAAAATAAAACTTGCAACCCCAGATACAAAGCTAAACAAAAGAAAACTGGCAAATAAGAATAGTATTTTACCAAATACTGTGAGAAAACATGATTTTACAATCACAGGAAAATGGAGAACAAGTCTTTCCCTGCACAAGCCAGTAGATTTGTGCCTGTGGCACACTGCGTGCACGTGTGCACACACAAGGCATTCCAAACACAGTTTGCAGACTGAAATGTGGGACACCCTCTTCCTACTTCTTGGGCAGAATTCCTTCACATTAGAAATCCATATTTCAGCTCATCTAATTCATTTTCTCACAAGGAATCAATGCATGACAAATTGTACCTTTCTTTGGTTCTACTTCAGGTCCCCTGGATCTTCAAAGTGAGCATCTGATGTAAACAAAATGCTTAATTGTCCTTTTGTACTCCTCACTGTCCAGGCATTCCTAATCTTCTTGGGGCTCTTAGAACAGTCTTCTCACAGGTCACAATGTCTCCTGTAGACCTTGTTGAATTCTGTTTCCTCAAGTCTGCGTGTGTCCAGCACCCTAATGAGGTACAAATTCTTCTGTGTGACCCATTTCCCAGGAACGCAGTCTGAGCCCCCGGGCTTGATAAAACAAGACCTCCATGAACTGCTCCCAGTCCCCCTTACCATTTCATCCCCTAACACTTTATGCTGCATCACTAGTGAAAAACTTGTAGCCATTCCCCCTTCATGAAACACCCTTTTCCTCATTTCTTCTCTTGACTGACTCTGAAAATTTTTTCACGATCACCATTCAAAGCTGGATTAGTGCCCCAGCCCTGTGCTCACCTTTATAATAAATGAACTTCACTGAGTGCTTTTGATATGCTAAGCATGGATGGGCACTTAACATGTATGATCTTATTTAGTGCTACTACCAGGTCTGTAAAGTAGGTGATATTTATTATTATCAGCCCATTTACAGATGAGCAAACATGAAGAAAGACTACACAGCATCCCAATGTCACGCAGCTGGGGAGTGGTGGAGCCACAGAGTTCATAGGCTTTTCATTACAAACAACATGAAACATAATTAGTTGAAAAATTAACAGCATAATAGGTACTTCCAGGCAAAAGGCCCAGAATGTCAATGGTGACCCTATGACAACACTGAAAGGGTAAAAATAAGATGAGAGTAACTCATCAGAATCCTTCAGAAGAGGGTGCAAAA